GAAATTCTAATAGGTAGACAGTCACATTCCCATTTACTCCCTTGATGGGCCAGAAAGTACTGTGGATGCTCATTTTATATAGAGTCCTTGATGAAGAATCAGAAGTCGTGGTTCTGATCCCAAGTTATATACTATCTACTGATGTTGAGTAAATTGTACCCCCACACTTAGTTTGCTTATCTGTATAACGGGAATAATAATGTCCCTTCAGTATCATAGGGTTGTTAGAAGGATTCTTTTAGATAATTCATGGCAAAGTGTGAATTTGTGAAGTCTGAATTAAATCATACTTCTAAATTTGTGAAGTATCAGTAAACTTTCAGGTACCAAGATGTGCTCATTTATTAAGAAAAATGGTGACCTAATTTAATTATCTTTTGTGTTTTACAAATAGTGTTATTGGGAGGCAGGGTACGTTTTAATATTGAAATTGAAATAAAATTTCCAACAGGATTGGAAATCCTTAAGAATTTTGAACTTGTAAACTTAGTAAACTAATATTTAAAGCATTTTCCTTCATAAATATGACCATTTAAAAAATAGTATAATAATTAAAACCTTAAAGCAATTGAACAGCAAAATGGGTTTTTTTAGCCTAGCATTGACGTAATCACTGATTTTGTATTTTAGAGATGCTCTTAGTGATCTTGCATTACATTTTTTGAACAAAATGAAGATTATGGTGATTAAGGATATTGAAAGAGAAGACATTGAATTCATTTGTAAGGTAAAATATTAACATCTGTATTTGGGAAAAATGTCTGATGATCAAATAAATGTTGCCTTAATTTGTGGATTTGACTATTTCCAGACAATTGGAACCAAACCAGTTGCTCATATTGACCAATTCACTGCTGACATGCTGGGTTCTGCTGAGTTAGCTGAGGAGGTCAATTTAAATGGTTCTGGCAAATTGCTCAAGGTATTGTAATTAAGCTTCTATTGCTTTTATTTATTTTTTTCTTTTAACCCTTACTTCAAATACTTAATTTAGAATTTGTTTATTAAAGATTACAGGCTGTGCCAGCCCTGGAAAAACAGTTACAATTGTTGTTCGTGGTTCTAATAAACTGGTGATAGAAGAAGCTGAGCGCTCCATTCATGATGCCCTGTGTGTTATTCGCTGTTTAGTGAAGAAGAGGTAATGTGAATGCTACATTATTAAGCAACATTTCGAACATTAAAAGTTCTATATTTTAACTATTTTTAAGGTATAAGTGAATTATTAAAAATAAATTCCTGATGGATAAGATAAGCTAAAAAGGTATTTGTGAATTTCAGAGCTCTTATTGCAGGAGGTGGTGCTCCAGAAATAGAGTTGGCCCTACGATTAACTGAATATTCACGAACATTGAGTGGCATGGAATCCTACTGCGTTCGTGCTTTTGCAGATGCTATGGAGGTCATTCCATCTACACTAGCTGAAAATGCTGGCCTGAATCCCATTTCTACAGTAACAGAACTACGAAACCGACATGCCCAAGGAGAAAAAACTACAGGCATTAACGTCCGAAAGGTAATAATTTAATCTTTAGTTATTGCAGAGAATTTTGGTTAATTTAAAATTAAAAACATAATCATCTCTTGAATGAAAAACTTTATAATTAAAAGTGGCTTAATCTTATATTTAAATATCAGACCTGCAAGTTAATGTATGCCATTGAGTTAACAAGGAAGATGAT